ACAGCCTGGATGAATGTGAAATTGGAGGCATGCCATTCTTGCTGACAACAATTTTTTTTATTCTTTGAAATTCTTTCCTAAGAAATTTGCAGTATCTGCAACTTGTTTTTCAAACCAGACAATGCCGAAATCATATTTGAACAGGCATTTTTTATGTGGGTTTCCCAAGTAAGTCTGCGGGTCTTGTCTAATCGTTTAAGCATGATATAACATGTTTTGGGGTTCCAGCTATTTATTATTTAATTTTAACCAATATAAGATACAACACTTGAAATAACCACAGCATAATGGCATCCTTCCACATTCGTCCAACATCGCTACATTGTTTGTACAACTATTAATGCTAAGTACATATATATGCAAAATGTTGTCTGTACCCTCTCGATTTCCGAATTTTGGTACCCCCATATCGCTACCATAAGAAATAGCTGGCACAATGATTGCATCAAACAAATTAAATGCACTAACCAATGGCATACTACCAAGTTTCTTGCAGTACGTAAATTTGTTGGTTCACTGTAAATCTGTTTTTAGAGGGCGGTAAAATAATATGCATATACCGGTAGTAGCAGTTTAGCAGCGGTCTCAATAAACTTCAATGACTACATCTCCTTTTTATGAACCCACTAAAAATTTTCTAAGACATCAAAAAAAAAAACGTGTAAAAAAATATGTTTGAAAAATATAATTTATCGCATAGTTTCAGTGCTGAAGCAACACTGTGGGATAACTTTTTGGCTGCAATCATTTTTTTTAATGATGTTTTTTTAATGATGTACACTATGTCCAATAACACAGGCTACACGTACTAATACAATAAGTTAACTACATTTGGCTGATACACTAAGAACAAAACAGTATATATGCCATCATTAACTTGAAGAATACAAAACTAATGAACCAATATGAAAGTACAGTGTGGTGTTGCCGTCTCAATCCCGTTCGAACCCCGCACTTTACTAACTGAGCGAACTAGCACAAGACAAACGAACCTATTCAGGACCATCACATCCTTCAGAAAGTGACTACTATTACATTGTTTCAATGTTGTTTTAATATTTAACATCAGCTGCTTGAACGCGATCTTCATTACACCATCGCGGAATCGCCGAATAAAAGCTTGCCCATTTATAACAACCTGTTTTGATTGGCTGCTGTTGAACTGACACGACGTAACTTCACGATTGACATTTAAAGCTCGTTGCCACCTAAATGCTCATTACTATGCAATTTCAACTGAGTCAAGTGATTTAAACGATGATAATTATTTTAATTAATACTGTTTGTTTTATTATTTTCTAATCTACGATCATAAATCTAATATTCACTTCCAAAATTTAGGGGGTTCGACCGACCCCCCCCCCCCAAACTACGGGCCTGGTATTCCTGCACGCGTGATTTGTTTTTGCCTAGAAATTATTGTGCAGAATATGATTTGGAACATACTTGTGACTAGCTTATTGCTAGCTTTCAAGAGCTGTGGATAATTAAAATTCGTGCACAATAGACTGTGCGCAAAATACACACTCCTTTGTTATTTACCACATATTTCTCTACTAGGTCTATGGTTATATTTAGACACAAGTGTCATTACGAACACTGTTGCGTCACTCTCGTCGGGAAAAGAGGGATGAGTCTATTTATTATTGTAGTTTCAAGATTACACTTGTCTGGTCAGTTACGCGGCACCATTTTTTACGAAGCGTCCGCTTTGCTACGTCATAGGGATCAAATTGCGTGAATATATAATTAATTGAACATGGCTGCTTCACGTCCCCATTTAGTTTTCGTAAGATGGAACTAGTTTCCTACGGTGGCCCACAGGTGTCACATCATGTTATTTATGTGTTATTTCCCGTAACACAGACTTTGTTGCTCGAAACACAAATTTAACTTACAAAACAAAACTTTAATTTCGCGCAACACAACTTTATTTTACAAAACAAAACTTTAATTTCGCGCAACACAACTTTATTTTACAAAACAAAACTTAATTTCCTCGAAACACAAATTTAACTTACAATACAAAACTTCAATTTCGCACAACACAGCTTTATATTATCGCAACACAACTTTATTTTACAAAACAAAACTTAAATTTATCGCAACACATCTTAATTTTACAAAACAAAACTTAAATTTATCGCAACATAACTTTATTTTACAAAACAAAACTTAATTTTTTCGCAACACAACTTTACTTTACAAAACAAAACTTAAATTTCTCGCAACACAACTTTACTTAGCAAAACAAAACTTAAATTTCTCGCAACACAACTTTACTTTACAAAACAAAACTTAAATTTCTCGCAACGCAACTTTACTTTACAAAACAAAACTTAAATTTCTCGCAACACAACTTTATTTTACAAAACAAAACTTAAATTTATCGCAACACAATTTTACTTTACAAAACGAAACTTAAATTTCTCGCAACACAACTTTATTTTACGTAACGAAACTCAAATTTCTTGCAACACAACTTTAACAAAACAAAACTTTAGATTTCTGCAGAAGAAACAAAATTTCCCTCATGATTAATTTCATTCACAAAACAAAATTTTAATTTACAAAAATATATTTTCAATTCTCGCAACAGAAACCTAATTTTTCACAACACAAATTTAACTTCACATACCACAACTTTATCTTATGACAAAATAACTTTAATTCACACAACAATACTATAAATGTTCGTTATATACACTTAAATTCACACAACAAATCTAATTTCTTGCAAACAAAACTAATTTAAAAACACCACTTTAATTACCAAACGAAAAAACATTTTCCACAGTATAACTTTCATTTATCAAAGCACAGCATTAATTTAATGAAAACACAACTTCATGTTGTTTTTTAAAAACACAACTTTATTTTTCACTATTAATAATTTCTCAGATTTCAAACATTTCAAAAAGATACAAAACTTAAATTTCAAAAACCTTTTTATTATATACAACGGAAGATAGCTATGTATCCCACAATTCACTGCATTGGCAGCCATATTTGTGTAGTACTTACACTGTATACACATCACTTAGGTATATCGTACGTACATTTGCTAAGGCTGCAGCACATGAAGGGAATGATTATGATGCAGCTGCAGCAGCTGATTCTAATGAAATTGACGATGAAGAATTGATAAAGTACTTTTTCTTCAGTGGGTATCAGTATGACGAAATCCTTAATTTTCTTTCAAAGTATTATGATATAAATATAAGCAAGAGTACATTGATGAGGAGACTTAAGCAATACGGATTGAGGAGAAGAACACCCGACTACGATATTAATTTTATAAGAGGAACAATTGCACAAATGTTAGACGGTCCTGATTGTATTGGCGGATACAGAACAGTGTGGCATACACTTCAGCTACAAGGTATCCGAGTTCCACGAATTGTAGTGCAGGAACTCCTGCGTGAGTTGGACCCCGAATGAACAGAGCTGCGAAAAGCACACCCACTTAAAAGAAGAGTCTACCTCTCTCCTGGACCAAATTTTTCCTGGCATGCCGATGAAGCCATTTGGTTTTCCTATTCACGGTTGTATAGATGGTTACAGTATAAAAATACTATGGCTATTTGTTACACGTTCCAATAATTCACCAGACAATATAGCCAGGTATTATGTGGATGCAGTTCGGGAGTTCAATGGATGCCCAATACAACTAGATACCGACCTAGGCACCGACAATGGCACAATGGCTGCCATTCATTGTTTCTTCAGAGATGATGCCGATACTCATAGATACGTTACATCTCAGCATAATCAAAGAATTGAGGGATGGTGGTCATTTTTAAGAAGAAATCGTTCTACATGGTGGATTAATTTGTTCAAAGACTTAGAGGCTCAATGAATGTTGGATACCAACAGCAAATTACAAAAAGAGTGTTTGTGGTTTTGCTTCGCAAGTTTGCTTCAAACATATTTGGATCATGTATTACAGCACTGGAATACACACTACATTAGAAGGTCAAAACACGACACTGCAAGCGGAAGACCAGATTCACTATATTATTTGCCTGATACCACATGGGAGCAGAACACTTGGCATTACCTGTACCAGATACAGAGATGGAGTATGCACATACC